ACACACACACACACACACACACACACACACACACACACACACACACACACACACACACACACACACACACACAAACACAATTGCCAGAACTTGACCTAAGCTTCACCACACAAAAAAGCAAAAACACTCTTTCCATTATTATTAAACAAGTCTGGTGTAAAATCCCACGTTTACATCTGTGTGTGTATGTGTGTGTGTGTGTGTGTGTGTGTGTGCTCACCACACTCATCCATCACTTCGTAAGTTTTGCTCTTCATAGGCCCATAGGAGCCGAGTTTGTTCTTAGCTTCAGTCAGGTCCTCCTCTCTCACTGCAGGACGCTGCTGCTCCTCTTCCTGACCGGTCTGAAGGACAGAAACACCAGATTTGTTATTTATTTATTCATTTTTGTCTAGAAGTCTAGAAGAATTTTTTAAAAAGTGAGTGAAAAGTCAAACTCTGCTCTTACCTGAGACATGGCGGTTGAATAACTGCTGCAAAGATTCTCCTCTTACTGTCTTCTTCAGCTGGTTTCACTCGTGTGTAAACAATCTGGCAGTGGTTTCCCAGAGAGCAGTAAATCTGCCCCTCAGAGGGAACGAGTGAACAGACTCCTCCTGTTTTTTTTTTTTTTTGTAAGCTTTTATTTTAGTCTCCAACTATGAAAAGATGAGGACACAGCTAGAACCTGTGACTTTAAACTTCACGCAACAAAGCCCAGAGATGCAGGAAATATTTAATGTTCTGTTCTTCCTCTGTTTCCTTCACTGAAATAAAGAAGCTAAACTCAAATCACACAGGATAAGTGCCTTAAAACAACAAACCGTACAAATATCTGTTGAAAACAGAGAGAGGAGACTAAACAAACATGACCCTGCTTTTAAAGAGCGCCTTCCCACCCTTCTAATGAGGTCATTATTTTGTCCTCTGGGATCCTAAAAACACAGCGGCTGCAGAAAAAACCAACAAATCGTTCAAAAGCGTTTCCAAGAAACTAAAACTTGTTTAACTCTTAAACAGTAAAAACAAATTGATTCGCTGGTCTAAAACATGTTCTAAGAGGTCCCGTTTTCTTGTACCATAAATCCAAAATTGTTTAAAAAAAAAACAAACCACAAGTCTCAAGCAAGTTGTCACAATTCACTTTCATTCTCTTAAACATGAACTTAGTGTTGAAACTTCCCAAAAATGTAAAAACTCAAATATAAACAGCTGGAGGCAGCATTCAGAGCGCACCTTTTACCTAACAAAATGCTTTATGTTGGAGTTTGAAGAAAACTCAAATTCACACCAAGTCGGAATCATTCTGTGAAAATGTGGAACATTTCTTCTCTAGTCTCATCTTCTTTCAATACTTTTCCAATAATGAACCTTTACCACCAGTTTAAATGTAGTTGGCTTGTTTGAACGGCAGTAAAAACAAAAACCTTACAGAACATTCATCTCAACGCCCAGGATTAGATCCTGAAACTGTAACAACAGGAATATTTTAGAGAAAATACTCAAGACACACACAAATAACAAACAAGGTCCCTTTAAAAATATTAATCCCCCTCCTTTCCCCCCCTACAGTCTTTCACAGTCAGGCTGTTCCAGCTGTGTTCTGTAATTTAAGCRTGCTTCTTTCTGTATTTGGGCAACAGCTGAGTCCTCACAAACTGAACGAGCTCAGTCTCCGTGAGAAGAAGAGCGATGAAGACGAGGAGCAGACACACAGCCCCCACACCGACGTGGACCGCCCTGAGCAACCAGCCGTTGTCACAGCAGAGGAAAACCTGAAACCAGAAGCTCCGTTAGAACCAAGCAAATACATTTAAACAAACAGCTGATTTGTTTGTCAAAGACAGAAGGATTTCACCTCAGAAACGGTTGTGACGACTGCACTGACACCGAGTGAAATCACGAGGAGTGGAGAAGGCAAGAGGCCTCGCAGAGGCCTCCACTGGCTGGACCTGAAGTAGCGGTGGATGTAGAAACAGCTGTGGGAAATACGGAGGCCCATGTTGAGACAGTTTGCCAGAATGAAGCCGAGGCCTCCGGCCCACCAGGTCAGCAGGTAGGACAGGACGAGGAAGGACACAGACAGAGCCAGCATGACCAGGTTGTACCTGGGGACAAAAAACCGTATTAAATCACAGGATTCAGCTTTTATTTTCCGTCCTGTCCACTCCTCTTACTTGTCGACTTCTTCTTGGCTCATGGCAGCAAACACAAAACACTCTGTGACGCCGTTTACAGCCAGCAGGAGAACATAACAGCTGTAGCATCTCAGCAAACTGGGCCCTGTAAGCAATGCACGAATAAATATTAACAAGACAGACAGCTAACAGAAAAGTACCCCACGTGTCGAGCTTATACCTGCTCCACTGCTCAGCAGAGTGCCACCATAAATATCCAGAGCCAGGTGAGAGTAGGCATATCCAAACACCGTAATAATCAGACCGATCACAAGCACCAGTTTCAGCAAACGCTCCAGAACCTCTGCTGCGATGGCGACTTCTTCCTGCAAACAACCCGAGGACATATGAACAAGGAGGCCTTCGCAAATACGCTTCGTGTTCATCAGCGCAGCCCAAACCTTTTTCTGGCTCCTGACGTCACGTCCTCTCACCAACACTTTGGCAAAAAAGATGTAGAAGCTCTCTTCAATGGGCAGGAAGATGAAGCGCGCCACCATGGAGCCCAGGTTGTTGACGATGTCGTAAACACCCTGGTCCCCGAAGCTGAGGACGTTCAGGAAGGTCATGACGTAGCGCTCGCCCTCCGTCAGGATCTGCTTCAGGAAGGACTGCTGGAAGAAGCTCCACGTGAGCCGAGCCAGAGTCCAATCCACCAGCGGCTTTAAGCACGAATACACGGGGAAGAAAATCAGCAGTTATTTTTGATGAAATAAACAATCTGTAATACTTCAAGGTGTGCCAAGACACTGACCTCCCCATCAGCTCTGCAAGGCAGCAGGTCTGCAACACCCTGCAGAGGGAAACCCGTCTTTGCTGCCTCTTTAGACCCCAAGAAACGCAGGAAATAAACAGCATAGCATAGCACCAGAAATCCTGTGTACACCAACTAAAAAGAACCACGTCAATCAAAATCCTTCTTGCGTGTATTTACAAAATAAGTCAGCTGTTATTTTCCTTACATGAGCAGCAGAAAATATGTAAAGGCCCCATTCTCGGGCAAACACCACCAGTACCACGGTCACGCTGCACTTTGCGACCATCGCTAAACTCTCTGCGACTGCTTTCAGACGGACAAACATGTGAGCTTGAGCCAAAACCCAGAGAGGCTCGGCCAGGAGCTCCTGGACTCCCGATAAGGAGAACAGCACCACAGCGGGGCCGTAGTAAGGGACCACCTGGGGGTCTGGGATCTCCAGAAGCCACAACCACACACAGCCGAGAAGGATGGCCCATAACACACCCAGAGGCACTCTGAAAAACAAAAACCGAGACAGAAATCARATTAGTGCATTCTAGATGAATAAATAAAACTTCCACTTTTGGTTTTGTTTTATTAGCTGACTCACGTCAGCCATAGGAGGTTAATAACTTGTCTCCAGCTGCGGTTTGTCCCTGATTCTCCACTCAGACAGGCTCTCCTGAAAGCCTCTCTGGACAAAAATACTAATGTGGAATACAAAAGTGTAAGCCTGTAATACGAAGAAGAAAAAAACGGGTTACAGCAGGTGGAGCAGTGAAATCTGACTGCAGAGTTCTGTGATTCCTCTGTTTGTTTACCTGACGTTGACCACCCCGATCAGCTCTTTGGACACAAAGCGCAGCGTGAACGCGTTCAGGAGGAAGGTGAGGACACGGAACATCACCTGAGATTAAACACACACGAACAGTTTACACGGTTATTCTCAGAACCGGGTCACGCAAAGCTCGGTTATGTTCACTACCTGTAGCAGCACATTGTACGACGCCAAAGTGGACGCGTTTTTCAGCACGTCCTGAGAGGAGCTCATTTTTAAACTCTTTACAAAAACGTTTGTCAGGAATGAAGCTGAACAAAAAAACGCTGCTTAGCGTGTAAACACATCATGAAGTCATACGGAAAAAAATACTATTATAACAAGTTATAAAACAACAGCTGTTAGGTCCTGAGGAGCGCACAGACTTTGAAGTACTTCCGTACACATTTTACGGTCACACGTTACGTGATGACGTCGTTAAAGCTGCATGGCCACATTATCGCCGCTAGAGGGCACTATTCTGCAACTAACACACGGGCGATTGTTTCGAGTTTTTCAGACTCAAATTGATTGATGATAAATTATAAATAAAATAAGAATAAACAAAAAGCTCAGTCGTGTAAGGATTGTTTTTGTGATGCATCTTTCTGGTTATTACCTGAATTATTAAGCCTGGCAAATCTGTAATTGTTCCTGTCTATAAAATAAATTGTGTTAAGCCTAATAAATGCAACTTTTAAATTTTTTATATTTGACTTGGTTAATTAGCAAATCCATAATTAAGATGTGCAAATCTTGAGTCTTTTTTTATCTTTGAAATGATCAGCTTTTTCCGTCATCTTCCATACAGTACCTGAGCTTTTGCAGAGGAATGTTTGCTTGTAAAGCCATTTACCTCTGACCTATAAAAAACCCTTCTAAAGCTTCAAGAACTATTGATCAAAATCCCTTTAAAAGTTTACAAGTCTGGTTCTGGAGCCAAAGTATAAAGAAATGGGGCAGATTAAATGTTTTGCATAGTACTGCAATTGGCCTTAATTAAAAAAAACAAAACATTTCATGTCACCCATGTTCAAACCAAAAGCTACAATGGAAACCTATTAAAAAATCAGCTAGTAATTCAACATTTATTATTATTCTTTACACCATAGATGAGGTTTAAGTCTATTTTTTTTTTTTGCTTCAACTGTTAATTCTTAAATTGTCGCATACATAAAAGCCAGCACAAACTTGAGATGTTTTTTAATTAGATGTAAAATATGGAGACAATAAAAAAGTACATCCTAGTTAAACAATATACAGGTACGAACAATATACATCTACAAAGTTTATGTACAGCATTTTAATAACATCCCACTTACTGACCACACTCATGTAACATTAATTAAAAACTCTGCAACCATGGCTACATTCAGTCCTCCAGGTCTATAAGTAAGAGCTATCCATGCCGCAGAGTACAGCTGCTGGGAATTATTGATTATCACACTGTTCCTTTAATTTACACAAGAATTCAGATATTTTAGAAAGACAACATTCATTATTAATCTATAGTGTGACAGATGTGTTACTGTTCTGAGTCGTACACATGCAGTTGTCTCATTTACATAATTCATATCTGAAATAAAAACAGTACAGTTGATGTTTTTCCTCTTCACAATTTTCTATCCCCAGTTGGACCAAACTTCTCGTAAAAAAAAAAAAAAAGAAATAAAAATGCTGCAGATGGTTGCAATGACAGCATGTGACATGTAAAGATTTATCCATCCACCATAATATTATTATTATTCCTACACATACAGGCTTTTAAAGCCTTGCACAATAATAGGCATGCATACAAATACAACATCAATATATACAGTACAAGGACATGATTCTAGATGTACYCAAGATGAAAATAAAGTTACATAAATACTGATTCAGGAACAACTCACTTCTCTGTGAGTAAGCAAGCTGCTCCATAAACAGGAGTGTCTCCTGAGTCAGACTGATGTTAAAACAATCACTTTTCTAAAAGGTGCTCCATCTCAGGGTTTATGAAGGAGAAACCAGCAAATGCAGACTGGTCCATGGAATCTATGAAGTTCTTTTCACTGTACGAAAGCTTTGGCTTCTCGCTGAGGAACTCCCGATCAAAGTTGCTGCAGTCATTTGGTGCTTTCTGTAAACGAGGAAAAAAGAAGAACTCAGCAAATGATTTCAAGTTGAAATTGTTCTATTTATCATCTGTAACAGGTAGGGAGCGTACCACTTTGGGTTTGAAGGGTGGCTCAATCTCTCTCCTCTCCAATGCCTGCCAGTTGATGGGCTTAAAGAAGGCGTGTGCGGTGATGTCACCCACAACTCCCAACCTGCGTGTTGGGTCTCTCTCAAACAGCTGCAGTGAAACATCGTTAGCTTACTTTAGTCTCGTTTAAGTCTAAACATGTAGGATTATAATCATTGCTTTATAAAACGTAAAATGCTCAAGTTTAAACAAATAAATTCATATGAAAATAAATGTTTTCATCAAGCAAAATTTGTCTTTATCAAGTAGACAGTGGCTGTAAAATGTTTTCATGCACTCAAGCTTTGAAAATGTGAAAATCAACTGTGTTTACACAAACACTTTCATATTCTCTGGGCACCAACTTATTATTGGATACCAGATAATCTTAATTACCTGAAATCCAGCCCGGAGAGCAGTCATGTTCCACTACATTGAAACTTAACTAAATGCTGTAAGTGAAAATCTCTATTTTTTTTATTTTAGTAAAATATATTGCGCTATAAATGTTTTGTTCAATTAACCAAATATTTCTTCTTATATCTCCTTAGTTATAATCTGATGCTCATTCATGATTGCTAGTAGTTGTGTTCTTATGTGTGGGGTACATGGAGCAAAACGTTTGGTGCTGACCTGCTCAAGCAAGCTTTTGGCCTCCTTGCTGATCCAGCGGGGATAGTGAGGCGTGTCCATGCGGATGGACTCAAACAGCTCGTCCTCGTCGTCTCCGTGAAAAGGCGACTGACCGACCAGCATCTCATACAGAAGCACACCAAACGACCACCAGTCGACTGAGAACGAGTACTTCTGGCCCAGCAGGATCTGAGGTGAGGCACAGTTTGGAAACAAATGAACAAACTAGTACATTTGCACCTGAAATTGAAGCAGGTTTTAACATGTTTCACCTCTGGAGCAATGTAGTCTGGAGTACCACAAAACGTCGTGGCACGATTCTCTCCAAACACGTTCTCCTTGCACATCCCAAAGTCAGCAATCTTTATGTGGCCCTCATGGTCCAGCATCACATTGTCTAACTTCAGATCTCTGAAAACAAAACAATATTATAAATAAATATCAGAAAAGTTAAAGACTCAAAAATAGAATTTGCCTTTTATACATCTACTCAGTCTTAAAGATTATCCCTAAGATTGATACTTGTACATTAAATGTCTGAGAGTTTTAGTATCTAAAGTGTAAAATGTTTGATGTGTAGGACTTCAGATTATTATTTAGGACAGTCAAAACCTGATAACTCATAAATTTCTGTGTAGTGTTGGTACTAATGAATACAAGTACTTATTTAAGAAAACGGTTAATAGTTTTGAATTAACAATTCTTTCACATTAAATATTAAGTTTATCTAAATATCACAGATATTTCAAATGTGCTCAAGATTATTAATTAACCTGAGCCTTATTAAATGTGTTTTTGTGTTTCCATAAACTCATCAGCTGCACTAGTTTTACACTAAAACTGGTCCAGTCTTTCAGTCTTTTCTGCATCTTTGCACTCACAGTCACAGCTTTCTTAACAGCTCTTACTCGTGACTGCAGTACCACACAATGGTATTTAAACTTTTTGGGAAAAAAAAAGTCAATATGTGTGGGATTATCTAACTGAGCAGTTTTTGAGTCTCTGCAAGTTCATTTACAGACAGAACCAGCAGCTCGGCTGAAAGCACTGACGTTAAAAAATATCTTCGAATTACAAAATGATCATCTGGGAAGAAGAGAAAACTGTATTTTCAAGCAGAAATGCTGAACATTAAGAGTGAGTGCTGAATGTTTTTGACCTGTAGATAATTCCTTTGGAATGCAAGAACTGAAGACCACAGATGATCTCAGCTGAGTAGAACCTGGGAAGACAGATGGCAGAGTCAGACAGATATCAGCCACTCATCTCTAACAGAGCTGCAGCTCTGCTCAGCAGCCGGCTCACTACAGGCTGACAGATGAACACTGGTGTCACCGCAGGCTCGTTTCAGCGTAGGCCTGAATTATTGAGGAGAACATTTGTATGGAGTATAAAACAAGTGACTAACATAATGTGAAATCCAAGATGTTGTGTGAGCTGAAAGATTAGCCAATAGCTGACAGGCTTCTCTTGCTATCTGCTCAGTTAACAGAGCAGCCGTCAATCTAACCACTTTCTGGTCCTTTTTATCTGCTCAATACATCTCATGTTACATCACTGACAAATATTCTGTAGCTAAAGTTAGAGTAACCTCATAAACGTTACTATAAACAAATATATAAAACAATGTAAAATTAAGTTCAAAGTGTGTGTTTAGGGTAGAAAAACAGCTTTAGCAGTACAGAAATGATGACCCACACAGATCTATGAAAATTTCGCAAGTTAGCAGGAACTACTATCTTAAGAGGTCATCTGCATAATCAGATACAACAAATATCTACAAAACTCCATTTCACTGTGACAAATTGTGCAGCAACAACACAATTATATGCGAACTACAGGTACTTAGTTGTAAACCGATGCCTAATTTTTGAAAACGTTTTTTGTGAAACTGGGACGATTGTGCAGCAATGTGATTGGGAGATTTCAGTACAAGAATGAAACTACACCTCTGATTGTTTCCTTCGATGCAAAAGCATTGATACAAGAGCTGATACATCTACACAAATAGTATTATTTAAAGTAAAAAATAGGGTCATTCACTTAAATACTGTGATTATGGCCTTAATTTTAAAAGATACAAAATATGGATGCATAAAATGTAATTGTACTTCTGAACACTATTGAACACTATTGGTGTATGCAATCCTGGTCCTCGAGGGCTGTAATCCTGCATGCTCCAACACAMCTGATTTGAACAAGTAGTTGATTAATAGGCTTCTGCAAAACTTGAAGAGGTAATTCAATCACTGAACCAGGTGGTTTGGAGCAGAGAAACAAGTAAAACCTGCAGGGTTTACTGAACATGTATGAATGTTTTCAATTATATATCAATACTCGACCATAAATCCTATCTGATTATATTTAGTGTATAGACTGTCTGCGGTGAAAACAACTCAAAATAATTGCTGCTTTAAGATGTGCATTATCAATACCATCCTGAAAATTTAGGATTTGAAGATGTAAACCAACAATAATAACAGAAAGCCAATCAAATGATGGTGTTTTAGCATAAATACTGTTACTCTGAAAAAAAAAACGCATCATGATAATAAATACTAGTAAACTAAACAGCTAGTTTAAAATATATATTTTTAATTTCCATTAAAAATATGAGCTTTTGCTGGTTTCAGCTCATAGACTTTAAAACTCAATTTGAGACCAAAAATGTTAATGAATTAACTGTTAGATACCAGTGAAACGACAAACTCTACCTGTCCTCGTCACGGAGGACAGGTAGAGTGAATACAGTCGCCGGATGAGGAGGATTTAAGCAGCTCTCTAAGATCAGGTTTCAGTGTTTACAAAGAGGAGAGTCACTCATGTCAACTCACAACCCCTGTTTTAACGACACTAAGAAAAGTGAGCTTAGGTCTAAAGGAAAAAAACAACACAAAAAGCAGTATACTGGTTTAAAGTGATGCATATGATAAAACTACATTTAACAAACTGAAATTCTTACATGTCATTAAAACCTCTATTTAGTGCTTTTATTTTACTCCAAAACAGCAAATAATGTTTTTTCCTCTAAATATCATACAACATAACTATTACTCTTGTATTTATCCCATTTAAAGAGTAACTTACCCCAAAATTAACTTTTTTTAACTGATAAACTGTCTAGAATGTGTCTAAAATGTTATATAGTACTGTTTCTGTGCTAATTTTGATGTTTTTGTGCGTATTTGTTCAAATCTGTAATATTTGGTCAGTAACTAATATTCCTCTGACCATGTCCATCCCGTTATGACCACAGTGTACCATCTTGTGACCATGTCCATCCCTTTATGACCACAG